CCAAGGAAACAAGCGAAGAACGGCATGTTGTTGGCTGGTTTTGGAGGAGAATTTCCAGAGTAAACAGCATCTGCAGTGACAGGGTGTGAGTGTGTTGTGCATGTGGGGGCACCTGTTCCCTTATTTGTTTGTTGGTTTGCTTGTTTTATCATCTTCTACTGAATAGCAAGAGACTGAATTCACAATGGAGCCCTGGTGGCACAGTGTTTAAGAGCTGGGCTGCTAACCAAAAAGTTGGCAGTTTGAATCCACCAGCTGCTCCTTGGAAACCCTATGGGGCAGTTCTACTCTGTCGTATGGGGTCGCTATGAATCTAAATCAACTCGACAGCAACAGGTCTGGTTTGGTTTGGAGTTCAGAATGGTTTCTGGAGTTGCCTTTCAGAGGATGTGCCTTTAACCCTCCTCCTTAGACGAATTAGCCGATGTGAGAAGCTGGCATTGCTGCAGCTCCCCACACCAGCGGTCTGCTCCTGACGGGTCCTTCTCCCTCCCCCCCCACTTTCTTTCACATGCATGCACACATGTGCACACACACCCACCAGGGTGCTCAAGCACAGAGTCCACCCAACCAAACTCAATGCCCCTTCTAAGCCCCCTACTCCATCCTCCCTCTTGGCCAGGACCCTATTCAGCGCTCAGGTGTTATGTGCTAACTGTCGCAGCATGCATGTTCTCACGTACGACGACCTGGGGGTAGGCACTATGAAGCCCCCTCTGCAGAGAGGGAGATGACCTCCCCAAGGTCGCAGAGCTGCGCAGGGGCAGGGCTGGGATTCAGACCCCAGCCTCACAGCTCCCGCCCCTGGCTGCTGGGCCTGGGGTTGGCTCTGGCTTTGTCAGAGGAGCCAGGAATGAGATCAGGTTCTATTTCATTTCACAGAAAAAAAAAAAAGCAAAGCCAGGTATCCCTCAATCCCACCTGAGCGGGCAGGTTCAAAGTCAGCGCTGCTGCCTTCACTCTGTGTCCTGGCTAGAATTTCAAGGAAACAGCAGCTTTGATGGTAAAGCTGTGAAATCAATGCCTACTTTTTCCATAAGCAAAAGACAAAGGCCTATTTTTCAAACGAGAAGTTGTAACAATTCATTCTCTGCCTTGGGTCTGCTTATTAGCTTACTGCTCTAAGTGAATCCAAAGGAGAGGGTGACTATCCTCCCAGCTGAAGAGCAGGCTAAGAGAGCACTGTGCACCCTGGGACATCGGACTTCCCGGGCAGGGCTACAAGGATGATGACATACCTCCTCTTCCTTTCAGTATTCTATTTCTGCACATTTAGGGGCCCTGTGATTTTCTAGGTTTCAGAATGAGTGACCCATCACTTGGGACCCAAGGGGGAGCAAATTTCTTTGCAAACTGGGGGTGGGAGTGGCTGGGTCAGGGACACACATTCATTTCACACAGCTTCCTTGTCTGGGCTTAACTGTGGAGGAGGTGAGAATTCTGGGTGCTGCATTTGTAGCAAAAAATATGTTGATGCCACACTCAAAACAGGTCATGGCAAAATTGTGACTTATGACCACATGCCCTTTTCACTCATATGACCTACCCCATCTTTTTAAGTAAGGATGATACTACTCAGTGCAGGTGGCAGGGGGTCGGGGAGCTGGTGCTAGCAGCTCTTTACTTAAGAGTCACTTGTAGAAATTGTTGAACTGGTGTATGTTCTGATTTGTATATTTTCAACAACAAAAAAAGATAAATGTATTAAAAAGAAAAAAGAGTCACTTGTGTCTGTCTGTCTGCTACAACCAGGCTGTCATCACCCCCCAGATGCAGGGAGACTAAAAGAAGATTGTTGTTGTTATTAGGCGCCAACAAGCCAATTCCGACTCACAGTGATCCCAGAGCAGAACTGCCCCATACGGTTCTCCAGGCTATAATCGCCAGGGCTTTCCTCCACGGAGCCACTGGGTGGGTTCAAACCACCAACCTTTCAGTTAGCAGCCAAGCACTTAATTGTTGTGCCACCAGGGCTCCTGACAGAAGGTTGCTGGGGAAGAAATTGTGTAGAGGAGAAAACGGTCACATATCACCTCAACATGGGACAGGGAAGACGGTCCTGAGTGAGATGAGCAACAGGGACACAGCGACTCTCTGGCTGGCTGGCTAGGGGAACCCTCCCTGGGCCACATCTGCTGCTTCTGCTGGCCCAGCACCCATGCCCCCTTCTTCTGATGAAGGCACCTCTCTTTTCATTTGGGGAGCCACCTCCCCCTCTCTGTCCACATCATCCAAGTGGGGCAAGATCTCTCTGCAGTTCAAGGGGTAGACACGTGACCCAGGCCGGGACAATCAGCAGAGGACATCCTCCACAAGGGTGGACACAGGACCCGAGTGAGGGTCAGCAGCTCCAAGGACCATCAGCCCGTGGATCTCAGCCAGCGCCACCGGGACATGGCGAAGTTGGCAGCACGCGAGCCTGGCGTGGCCCACGGTCATCTCTGCACCTGGATCCAGCCCTACCCAAGCCTCCCAGTTAAGTGAACAGTAATCACTCTATCTGCTTAAGCCAGTCTGAGCTGGATTTCTGAGTCTTACAATCGCAAGAGTCCTAATGCACCTTCATTAAGAAAACAGAAAGCAGCATGGGAATTCTATTTTCTATATTCACAATTTCCAGACAGGAAAACATCGGGTTAACAAGACTGTCCAAGGCACACAAGAAACCCAGACGCTGAGACAGCCCTAGAGGTTGGCTCTCCCATCCTCCAGGCACATCCCCACCCTATGCTGCACTTCGGCTTGAAAAGTGGATGAGAAAATGTGCCTGACACCTTTCCGAGTCACAGGAATTAACAGCTGTGTGGTTTCACTCAAACAGATACAGTCTAAGGAAACACACTAACTGCACCTTCAAACATGTGCCCAGCTAGGAGAATAAACACACAATTTGGAAAGTTCAGGAACACCACTGCTGCTGCCAAGTTGGCTGTCTCATTGCAGGATGGGCCTGGGAAACTTGTATTTATTTACGGTGAGTTGGGTGAGGAGGTGGCAGGCCCATCATATTTTGGAATGATTAGTACATTCAAGAAAACAGGAGTGGTAAAACTGCCGAGGGGGCAGAGAGCCAGACCTGAGCGGCTCCAGAGTCCGCGTCGACTACTACAGCAGTCTTTGGGGGCATTCCTGGGCCCTGCTCAGCATGCCCTGGCGGAGGAGCTACCTGGAAAACACTTTCAGAGAAATGTGAAAATTCCTCCCCTGGTCCCCGCGTAGGGCAGGTGGGCTCAGCACCCAGGGAGTCTGCACACCAAATAAAAAATGAGGTGTCTTTATCAGAAGGTGGGATGGGTGCTGGGCCAGCAGAGCCAGCAGACGTGACTGGCTGCCCGGCTGACTAGCTGGATTATACTGCTGAGGCCAAGCCTGTCACGTCCTGTCCACACCACTGTTAGTCACGGCCGGGGCCTGGTGAGAGAGCATCGCATCAAGAGGCATCTTTCCAAAGCAAAACTGACAGGGACACAGTGTACGAAAATGGGGTGAGGACGTCCATTCTTCCCCCAACATGCCTATAGAATAGCTAGACGCTGGGTTTAGCAGACAATTTGCTTCCAAGTTGAAAAAAAATCAAAATGACCCAAATAGGCAAATAAGTGTGGCTTACCGTGAGTTTGCCCCTCACTTCCCCACCAAAGTGATATTTGTTGGCAAAGGTTTCTCAAACCAAATAAAAAAGCACTGCACGCTTTGAACAGAAAAAAAGGCATGCTGGAGACCTCAGGCCTTAAACAGAGGCCCGGTGGCATGAGAGATGTTTCAGTTCCGTTAATCAAAATCTGACTGTGGTGTTCACTGACAACTGCCAAGATAATCATCATGGGGGCCGGCAGGGTGGGGTGGGGGTGCATTTTGGCTGCAGAATCCCAGGCAACTTCTCAAAGCAAATAAGCTCTGAGTTACTAATTTAGGGAGCTCCTCTGTTCTACAGCTTCATATGCCCTTGGCTGGGGACCTCCCACCATCCAGGCTGGTGCAGCCACCGTGAACCCAGGTCCCAGGTAGACAGCTCACGGGAAATGTTACCCATGCCCCAGCAGACCCCAGCCAGGCTGGTGAGGAGAGGACGGATTCATACCAGGAGGTGTGGCGCAACCTCACCTCTAGCAAAAAGAGCCCTGGCCCCACCTCCACCAAGCACCCATCTCCCTATCACCTCTCCCACCCTGGTGCCTGGGGCCTGGGCCAGAGACCCCATCTGTGTGGTCGTGAGCCTGGTCCATGATACAAGGGACTGGACAGTTTAATCTTGCGCACAATCCCAGAGTGGACAATGCTCCCTAGTCTGGGAAGGTTTTAGCATCTAAACAAGAGGGAGGTGAAAAATCAACCAGAATCATCCTGGATAAGGGAAAAAAGAGGAATGAATTATTCTGCTCACTGGGTACACAGGCACCCAACACAGTGTACCTCACTCTAAACAGACAGGACTTTTTAAAAATCTTAATGTATGAATCTAGGAGATTATTTTGATTACGTGATTCCAAAAAAACAAAATCATCACGTTAGAAGCATATTTCATTAAACACGGAACCGCTTCCTTCCTACACAGCACTGGAAATAATGACTTCTTTCAAAAATCATAATCCTGGGCTACCGGGAAAAACGAGCACAGCAGTGATGATGAAGAGGACCGCAGCAGTACAGCATTTGCCACAGGCAGGCACTGCTCTATGCATGCTATTAAGCCGTTTCATGCTCGTAACAACCCTACAGAGTAGGTGCTCTGTCAGCCTCTCTTCACAGATGAGGAAACTGAGGCACAGGGAAGTAAAGAACCTCGCTCCAGGTCCTCCATCCAGCGAGGGGCAGGGACTTGTGTGTGTTCTGTATGTGACACACAGCCACACAGCCTCAATGGCTGGGTCATATAGAATGAGGTACACGGTGTCAGGAATGAACACACAGGAGGGGACCAGAAGTTAGGATGGAGAAGACAGGAAAGGCAGCCTCGCTCCCCACAGGGCGGCACGGGCGGCGTTCACGGGCGCACTCACCTTCACTCTCCCCACTCGTCTTGATGCCTTTTGAACCACCCTCTGTACCTTTAGCCTTCTCGGCGTCTTCTTGAGCATCCTCGGTGGGCCCTTTCTCCTCGTCTTCTTCCTCCCCAACATTTTTGTAGTTGGGTCTCTTTTGCACCCGCCTCTTGCCCTTGTGCTTGTTCATCTCAAGGGACCGCTCTAGCGTCTCGGTGGGTTTAATGAAACACCGAATGCTGGGCTTGGCCTACAGAAGTTCAACAAAGACAAGAGATAGGTGTGAGTGCTGGAAACTCACCCGATGCTATCTTGCTGCCTGACAGCTCCTATCACCAAGAAATTAAGCTCCAAAACAACATGTGCCTCCTCCCAGTGTATTATCATACTAACATCTACTAATGTCATTATTATTGAATAGTAAAAATCGTACCAGCTACCACTTATTGCTCTCCATTGCCAAGCGGAAAGTCTGTTAAGCGATTCACCAACACCAGCTTAGTTCTCCCCAAACGTTGTTATTCACATAAAAAAATACATCTGGTTTAACACATCTATGGTCCTGCTCATGTGTCAGATGCTGTTCTGAGGGCTTTGGATATAGTATCCCATTTAAACTTTACAACAACCCCACAAGGCAGTACTGTTGCTATCCTCATTTTACAGATGAGGAAACTGAGGCTCAGAGACCTGCCCAAGGTCACACAGCTAGGGAGTGGCACATCTGGGATTCAAACACACACACCACCCACACAATTTGTGTCTTAGCTACCGCACATCAAAGTCATTATCTTCTTAACTTAAATAAGTGTATTTTTTAAAGAAACTGTATATCAATACAGGAAATAAAATACGGGTGTACCTGCCATTATAAGAATAAAAGAAAAGAAAATGCAAGGTGTACTGTTATCGTTGTTAGGTGTCACTGAGTCGCTTCCGACTCATAACCCCCTGTACAACAGAACAAACACTGCTCAGTCCTGCCCCCTCCTCACAATCATTGCTATGTCTGAGCCCAATGCTGCAGCCACTGTGTCAATCCATCTTGTTGAGGGTCTTTGTCATGGATTGAATTGTATCCCCCAAAAATACGTCTATCAATTTGGCTAGGCCAGGACTCCCAGTATTGTGTGACTGTCCAACATTCTGTCATCTAACATGATTTTCCTATGTGTTGTAAATCCTGTCTCTATGATGTTAATGAGATGGGACTAGTGGCAGTTATGTTAATGAAGCAGGACTCAATCTACAAGATTAGATTGTGTCTTAAGCCAATCGCTTCTGCGACATAGAAGAGACAAGTGAGCAGAGAGACATGGGGACCTCGTACCACCAAGAAAGAAGCACAGGAGCACAGCACATCCTTTGGACCTGGGGTCCCTGTGCTGAGAAGCTCCTCAACCAGGGGAAGATGATGACAAGGGCCTTCCTCCAGAGTCGAGAGAAAGCCTTCCCCTGGAGCTGACACCCTGAATTTGGACTTCTAGCCTACTAGACTATGAGAGAATAAATTTCTCTTTGTTAAAGCCATCTACTTGTGGTATTGCTGTTGTAGCAACACAGAAAACCAAGACAGTCTTTCTCTTTTTCACTGACCCTCTACTTTACCAAGCATGATGTCCTTCTCCAGGTAACATGTCCAAAGTACATGAGACCAAGTCTCACCATCCTCGCTCCTAAGGAACATTCTGGCTGTACTTCTTCCAAGACAGGTCAAATGTTAGCTCTTTAGAAAGGGAGCCTGGTGAGAATGGTTGCACAGCTCGAAGAATATAATCATTGTCACTGAATTGTACACGTAGAAACTTGAATTGGTGTATGTTTTGCTGTGTCTATTCTCAACAACAACAAAAATAAAATTATTTAAAAAAAAAGAAAAAGAAAATGAGCCTAGCAAGTATCAGGGTGGAGTTAAAGATCAGCTCACTCCAAAGGAAGAAGCTTTTTCCTGAAAAACCGGAAGGCTCGAAAGACAATTTGAAAAGGCACAAGTGTCACCAATGGTCCATGTCTCACATGGTGGAAAACATGACTTGATCTCATTCTTTTAACAATCGTGATATATAAGGATTATCAGGCCCATTTTAGAGATGAGAAAATCGAGGCTCAGAAGGGTTAGGTAACTTGCCCAGTGTCACACAGCTACTGAACTAGAGAGTCAGAATTTGAATCTAAGTTTGTCTGACTATAAAGCCCAAGCTCTTCCTAAAATGACAGTGTTTTACCAGGGACTCAAACTTGCCTCCAGATTTAGTGTTCTTTAAAAAGTCTATATATGCTAAGTGGATCGGGTCTAGAAAGAGGCAAAGACAAAAGAAAACTATCTGGCCGTTTGAGGGCAGGTTTCTAATTGAAGTGTTTTTCTCTTTTCAGAGTCTGGATAATGTTTGGCCATGATTTTATCATTAAAAAAACACAGCAAAACAAAGCAAACAGTTTTAAAGGCGACTTCTCCATTATCTTGATATGCATTACCCACCTTATGAATTTACCCTAAACAACTATCGATTTTATTCCGGAGCCCCGGACCTTGCCAGTAAGTGGAATGAGCTCAAGAAGCTCAGATTAATTTTAATAATGCTCAAAACAAAACCTAATGGAAAGCCAAATTAGCATCCAAACCCAAACATTCATTTTTATTATTTACCCACTTTGGATTATTCATCCACAAAATGACAGTTGAACTGAGACAGAAGTTACTGTCCAGGAAACCCAGACAGCGTATCACAAATGCCAGCAACCCAGAGCACAGAGAGGGCGAGTCCCTGCGTGCACTGCCTGGCAGACGGCATCCATCAGAGCTCACTCAGGATGCTGTGTGACTGAATGCAGCCCTGTCACACAGCACTCAAAATCTTTCCGAAACAGAAAAGTGAGACCAAACGCAGAGCAAAACACTATCCAGTTAGAAGTTTCAGAGAAGAAATTCTCTGTAATGCACTGATGCAGAAACTTCTCCCTAAGCTTTACATGGAATCCCTGGATGGTGTAAACAGTCAATGTGCTCAGCTGCTAACGGAAAGGTTGGCGTTTCAAGCCCACCCAGAGGAGCCTCAGAAGAAAGGTCTGGTGATCTACCTCCAAAACATCAGCCATTGAAAAACCTATGAAGCACAGTTCTACTCTGACACACATGGGGTCACCATGAGTCAGAACTGACTTGATGGCAACCGTTTTTTTAAACTGTATATATCCTCAGATGCACAGAATGGGCAGAATTGAGGGACTGTAACAAAGCTCATGGGGTCTGAGGCTGGCCAGAGCACAGTGAACCCCAGCTGAGCCCTTATGGGCTACAGGACCTCTCAGAGTCTCAGGTCCCTTTTCTGAAACATGGGACAAATAATTCTGGCCTCCTAGTTCTGAACGCAACCATAGGTGTAAAGTTCCTCAGAGCTTGGCGACACAGTAAGCACCCAACAAATAACAGCTACCTTCCTTTCCCTGCCTGCATTGGGAAAAAAAAAATCAACTGCAAAAATTAGAAAACCTTCAAAAGGGATCTACTTCTCTTGAAGATAAGGTATTTGGAGAAAACAAAAAGGCATGCTTACCAGGGAAATTTCAAACCTTTAAAATGCAACCATCTAGTAAACAGCTGGAAATAACCTAAATGTCCATCAACAGGGGAGTGGTTAAGACGTTACGGCCTGGCAATTGAGTGGGAATCCATGTATTCGGTAAAAAGACTGAGGCATACCTAGGTGTACTGCTGCAGAAACAGCTCTGGAGTGAAAAAGCAAGAGCGGTGAGCGGAGAAGGATCTCTGTCAGTTAAATCTGTTCGAAGGCTACATATGATAATGTAAGCCCAACTTTTCCTGGAAAGATGCTTAAGAATGCACTAGCATTTTATCTTTAGGGAGAGAAAGAAGGCAGGTGCACTGTGTGTGTGCACCCACACACGTGTACTGTTATTGTTTCATTTTTATACATTTCCATTTGGTTTGAAATTTAATATGTACACATTAACTTTTTAAAAATCTGGCAAGGGCCCTTTGGACACTGGGATTATGGACGGGTTTTTTTTTCCTTTTTATTCTTCTATATGTAAAAAACCTGGGTTGGCTGGTTGGTTGACTGGTTTTAATATCGACAATGTCAAGACACCATAATTATCGCAGAGAAGCTGAGAAGAACATGGCTGGGAAATGTGGGCTGAGATTTGTGATCATTCCTACTGCTCCAGGCAAGATTCCTCCAGGACTGATGGTTACGAGGGAGGGGAGCAGTAGGGAGGGAAAATCACTAACTAGATAGTAGACAAGCGTTAACTTTGGTGAAGGGAAAGACAACACACAATATAGGGGAAGTCAGCACAGCTTGACCAAGGCAAAGTCATAGAAGCTTCCTAGACACATCCAAACACCTTGAGGGACTGAGTTACTGGTACTGAAGGCTGGGGACAATGGTCTTGGGGGACACCTAGGTCAACTGCCATAACATGGTTCATGAAGAAAATATTCTACATCCTACTTTGATGAGTAGCGTCTGGGGTCCTAAAAGCTTGAGAGCAGCCATCTAAGATACATCTATTGGTCCCATCCCATCTGGAGCAAAGGAGAATGAAGAAAACCAAAGATACAAGGAAAATATTAGTCCAAAGGAGTAATGGACCACATGGACCACAGCCTCCACCAGCCTGAGCCCAGAAGAACTAGCTGGTGCTCAGCTACCATCACCAACCACTCTGACAGGGATCACAAGAGAGGGTCCCAGACAGAGCCGGAGAAAAATGTAGAACAAAATTCAAATTCACAAAAAAAGACCAGACTTACTGGTCTGACGGTGACTGGAAGAACCCCCAAGACTATGGCCCCAGGACATCTTGCTAACTCAGAGCTGAAGCCACTCCCAAAGTCCACCTTTTAGCCAAAGATTAGACAGGCCTATAAAACAAACAGTAACACACGTGAGGAACATGCCTCTTTGTTCAGTTAAGTACATGAGACCAAATGGGCAACACCTGCCCAAAAGCAAAGATGAGAAAGCAGGAAGGGACAGGAAAACTGTATGAGTGGGATACTGAGAACCCAGTATGGAAAGGGAAAGGGGAAGACTGCTGACACATTGCGAGGATTGCAAACAATGTCGCAAAACAATTTCTGTAGAAAATTTCTTAACACACTCAAAAAAAAGATTCCCCCAGGAGTCTGTCATGTGACAGTCCAGATGTTCCAGACTGGAAGCTCACCAGGGAAGGGTCCCCACCCTGTTCTCGACACTAGAGGGTGGCGCAGAGGGCGCCCCC